ATCAGGCTGCCAGTCTCTTAAACCCCCATTTCACTTCTGACCCATGCTGATTTCTAACTACTTTCCATGCAAACATCCCTCTGCGCATGTGAAACAGCTCCTCTCACAAGAGCAATTATGTGCCGTTCTGTTGTGAACGGAAAACCTTCACCATGCTAGAGCCAGACAGAGCGGAGGACGTGCCTGGTGGCTGCTCCTCTCAACAGGAATGTGATCGTGTTTGACCACATTTCTAAATTGCCTTTCCTGGGCCCTGAAGCTTTGCCACAATGACCACCCATGAGCAGCCAGTTTCAAGGGAAGTTTCACACCACACGTTTCATGTCAGTGTTTCAACATGCTGTTTCTTTGCGTAAGCCGTATGATGGGGCAAGTGAAGCAATGAAAAGGCCCCGGTTCTTCACAGAGAGCCACCAAAGAGAGCTGCTGACCCTGGCACCCCGGCAGAGACACGGCGAGGCTGCAAGGCGGGTGCGAGCAAGAGCTGGCCAGCTGGTTCCCTCTGCAGCACAGGGGCCACAGGGCTCGTAGAGCCAATACCCACTGTGCAAACATGCAATGCAGGCCACAAGCTGCTCACAGGAGGGAAGAAGCCACAAAGAAATGTGTATGTTGTCTCACACAACAACAAGTATTTGTGTTTCAGAATGTTTAGGGTAAAACATGGCCAAGCCGAATGAGAAACACTATTTACTTTATACGCGTTCCAGAAGCCTGAATGACTCCAAAGTCTGGATGATGACTAAATACCAACCAAAACAAAACAAAGCCCCAAATCCTCATGGAATCCACAGGCTGGATTGCCGTAAATACCACCTCAGTGCAATGAAGTCCCTGAGAGGTCTTACTATGGCCCCCAGGGCAGCTGAGACAGGACCCTTCATCCTGAGCAACAACCTGCTTAGGAACTCCAGCCCTAGGATAAATGCCTTTTATTGGTTTTGGTTTGGGTTTTTTTTGGCTCTGCAGGGCTTTGCAAATAAGTGCTTTGGCAGCAGCCGTATTCTTCCTCATGTAGCAGAAACTACTAAGGTGTAATCTTGGTATCAAATAGGTTCAATGCCAACTACTTCTTCCATCTGTGCAGCAGAAGAGGGCTACTGTGGCTCCTTCTGGAGCAGTCTAACCACAGCACAACAAACCCGTACTGGGGAGAAGAGCAGTTGCCATCTCATCCATTTAGAACAAACTCAGTGATGTCTTAGGATATACAGCAGTGACTGGTGACTAATGTTAGGTATTTCTTCACTGACATATAAACATCAGTGAAAGATCCCCACCACTGACAAAAAAAGCATTTTTATAAAGGCGAAGTGGGGAGAAGGGAGGGGCCATGAACATGGGAAAAAAAAAGGGAAAACAAAGAAAATCGAGTTTTTCAAGCTATTCCCTGGCCATCATTAATAATGTATTTCCTAAATATTGCACTCTATATAAACTGTCATCAGCTTCCCCTGTGATTCTCAGGAAGAGGTTCCAGAAATCAATACTCATCCCAGTTGTAAAAATAGGTTTTCTACAGTATTCTTCTTTTCTTAGCGCTATCTTGCTCTTGGCACAAACACTCCAGCACCTAAACTAGCAAAGACCTCCAATTTTATGGGGTGACACAACGGTGAGAGAGCATTCTTGAGTGAAATCCTGCATTAGGGTGGCAACGCTGTCTTTTGGAGTGACAGCAGTCCCCTGCTGCTGACACCCCTTCCTTCCCCACCTACACCCTACTGATAATGTGGGGGGGAAAAAAGCTACCCCAATCAGAAAAGTGAGAATGGAGTATTAAAGCTGACTGCTCTTGGCTGCCTACACCCGCCTGCAGCTATGTTACTAAAATAATAAAGAACGGAAGAACCATATGCTAATGATGAGCCAATTAACCAGGGCGAAAAGCTCCTCTGATGGCAGGCAGTGGCAGGGTTGCTGAAACAAGTACAAGACATTAAAGCTGAGGAGCATAGCAGGAAATCTTACAACATTTGCTCACTGGCAAAGCCAAGAGAAGAGCCTATCTGCTGTACTCAGGCTGAGCCGAGGAGCCAAGCAGACTCCCAAGACGACAGAGACCCTTACCTCTGTGGTTGAAAGCACGGTGTCCTCATCCAGGCTTAGCACTGCATCTGTCACTATGTTGTCGTAGGGTAGGAAGCGACTGCTCATAACCTGTGGGTATCCAAGGCAGGAAGGGGAGGAAAAAAATCACTTGAAGGATTCATTTCCAAAGGAAATACTCCATTTTATTCCTCACTCTTATCTCCTCTTGTCGGAGGCACATCGCATATCTCTGACTGATGGGAAGGACCCTTCAGCTCAAGAGTGAGAGACTGTCATTTGCGTCTCCCCAGCAGTCAGCCTACATCTTCTACCTGAGGAGTACTTTCTGAATGGACCTCCCTCTTTGGAGCAGGCTGCTTTCCTTTTCTGACAAACTGCAATAGTCTGTACTGAGAATTAGATGTACCTACAGGTTCTTAGCGAGGACATTTTTGGTAGCTAGGACTGCCCCTCTGCCCTCCTACAGGCTCTGAGGATCAAAGATAATCAACGCTGAGAAGGACTTTGCAGCATTCGTAAGGTTACGCAGCTGGGAAGCCAAGCAGTCCAGGCTGTGTGTGAAGGGCATTACGCTACCAGGATGGTTCCCCTGTGAAGGGGTACAGCTCCATCTCTGTGCATTGCTGTTGTATCCACAGGGAGCTGCTGCCAAATGCTGCAACATACTCCATCAGAAAAGCAGAATATGCTAAAGAACATGTGTATTAGTTGAGCTTCACCTGCATCAAGAATTATATTGGTACTGTAGCACTTTGAAAAGTCATATTCGTAAGTGACATTATATATATAAAATCTACATGCAGAATAAGCTTTTAAAAACTATGGCAGGACAGTTCTCAAAGTAATAGGAAATGGGGATCAAAAAGGTAACAGCAAGGAATGAGAATCCATATGGTTTCTTTAGCAGACTAATTAGCACCTTTTGAGAACTGATGAATAGTAACAAGGACACAACACTATTTGTTTCCCTCATTTGCCAGGAAAAATAGCCTGGCTAGTTAATAGACTTCTTTTCCGATTTATTATGCCAAGAAAGCACTACAAAAATCAGGCCCAGGAAGAGGAAATCACTGCATGGAAACAGGGCCATGGAGAAGTTTTACATATCCCTCATAATGGACATGGTCAGTTCTGCATCCCCTGGAACCTGTTTGGAAGCAAGTCCCTAAATCTATGCCTCCAGAGATTCAGAGAAAGCTCTGTCTCCATAATCAGGATGTTCACGGAGTCTGTCTGGAGAGTATCCCTTCATCGCTACAATGACCTCGGTCCAGGGAGGTGGTGGCTGTGAGGAAGAGGTGATCTGGCAGGGGATGATGGTTTTGCTTTGCTTACGCAACGGCAGAGCAGAGCAAGCAGCTGGCAGGAGACCAGCGTTCTCACCCCAGCTCTTCTCTAGACCATGTAAAATTGTCAAATAGTAACAGTTGGGACTACCCATGTATTTGTTTTTGTAGTTAACAATCCCTTTTGTAAAATGGGTGTGAGAATATATCTTGATTTCATGGGGAAAAATGAAGGTTAGGTAAAGGCAGACCTCTGTGATCACCTGCACAGAGCGACTGTGCCTGCCAGTACACTTGAGTTAAGTCTGAAGATGAAAAGCAGCTCCTCTTTCCAACCTTTGAATTGCACTGCTCTGGCTCTGCAAGCTTTGTCCAAACAAACAGCTTTTCCGTGCAAGAAGCCATTTGGCATACGTTGGGATATTAGAGGGAAGAGACTGTCCACTATAAACACACCTTTGTGTACTCAGGAGACTCATTTGTAATCTAAACAGTGCCTGGGGCCAATTTCTACAAACACTGTAGAACTGGTCAGAGATTTTTCTCCTCTATCTCACCTCTGCAAGTTTTCCAACAAGAAAGAAAAAAACCCCACAACGTTCAAAAGGCTCAGAAATCACTACAGCCTTTCTGGGCCCTGCAGCAACTCTTCTGATACTGTTTACATGGCTAGCTAGGGCAAGAGCCATTAGCTGCCAGCCTCGCAGGGCTCTCGCTTTCCCCTCGTTAAGGTGACTGGGGGAAAAGACCAAAGACAGGACTATAAATTCAAAATAGGATTGTACAGCCAAAGCAACTGAAAGTTCCCTTTGCAAACACAGAGCTCGAGTCAGCTGACAGAGATCGCAGAGGGAAGCAGCCCAAATCTGTCTCAGTCAGAGTCTAGAAGGAAGAAGCCCTGCTTCTCTCAGGCCTGCGTTTGGAAAGGAATCATTCACTTCAGTGTGGATTTTAAAAAAAGCCTCTTTTCTCATCTGGGTGGTGTCTGTTTTGACTTTGTGGAAGCACAAAGGAACAAGGGTGTTGCACAGCAAGAGGTGACACAATGGTTTTGTTCCCACACAAGTGTCCCTTGTCCTTTCCTTTTTTATGGTGCTGGGATCCCATCACTGGCAGCAGTATCCTACAAGGCCCTGAGAGAAAGTACTCTTCAAAGGCGGGTTAACGCCATTTATTCTTATCTCTTCCTCTGCTTTTGAGTCCACAGCTGACCCCCAAGCCTTGCACCTGACTGCTCAGACTCAATGAATCCAGCTGCATCACTACTTTCATGCACCTGCAGAGAGACAGAAATCTCCAAAGATGGGGTCAGCACTACCTACTCTGGGGGCCACATTTCAAAACCATGTCCCACCTGTGACTCTCAGATTCATGGCATCAATTGCCACGCTGATGATTTCTGAGAGCACAGGCCTCACGTGTGAAACATGAATCTGTGACCAAGCTGGTACAAAGGGCCAAGGAATAGAAAGGAGCTGTCACACTGTTGGGAACTACAAAGCTTTCACCAAAGCAGCTGGAAAAATAAAGTCTGGTCCCACTGGAGAACATACACAATCTTTTACCATGCTTCTCTCCACCTACCTTGCTCTCTCCTTCAATGACTATGACAGGCACAGAAGTGGCAGGCCAGCGGTGTTTGGCTGGGAGGGGTTTATCACAATTCCATAAAACAATGATCTGAAAGAGGATATTGGAGCATGATCAGAGACTTTTGTGGCAATGGAGTCCAAACCCTAAGGACTCAGATCTCCAGACAGAAATGTTAAATTCAAGCCAGGAATCAACAACAACGATACAAATCTGTATAAAAATAACACTTCCTACAGTAATTTCACCCATCCTGACTATTTACAATATACATCCTCTCAGGCAAATAGAGGCTGGACAGGAACTCAGGAAGTCTCTATCTCAGCCAGGTCATACGGATGTCACTGATTTACTTTGGCTCTCATTAAAGGCTAAACCAGTTGTGACACTCCACTGCAAGAGGGTGCTCATACAGAACTCCCCAGGGTTTCTTTTAGAGAAACCAAAATCCTGGCACTGCTGAGACTAAGAGCCACAGCAGGAGGAAGGAAGATCACGTAGGAGCTCTTGATGCACAGACATCCTTTTGCAGTTTGCAGCACACGCAATCCTGATCTTTAAAGTGCAGTCATTATTTTACCTGTCTCATGAAACAAAGGGGTTTAATTACTGTCTCTATTCCATTCCAACTATACTCAGAATTTTTGTTTCCCATGCATGCAGGTCACAGACAGTAGAAATTTCAGAGAAAAGAAACATCAGAATTGAAACAGGGGTTTGAAACAGGACTGAGAAGATCTGAAGTCAGGAGGTTCTTCACTCCTGGGATAGCAGTTTTGTCTCCATTGTGACTGACAGTCAAACAGCGCTGCTTACCTGTGCACAGTACTGGGACTTGGCTACAGCAACCAGGAGTTTCAGCACAGGCTGAGATTGGGAAACCAGGGGAGTTACTGCGTGGATAACGGCAGTGAATGTGGAAAGAGGCTTCAGACCTGAAGTGAAGAGATACATGTTCAGTAAAGACAAAATTGCCCTGGTTAGTACAGATTAAAGGACTCTGGAGATGGAAGAATAATCTGCACTTAATGCAAACCTTGCCATGTTTTTTTAGGCCATCTCCTTTCGTCTCAGATACTAGGATACCAGATGCTTCAGAGCAGATCACACTTCCCTTTAACTCCCACACCCTCTGAAATCCCTGACTCCAACACAATTACTGCCTTTTCTTACTCACTATTTCCACAGATGTCCTGCAAGCTCCTTCTTTTATCCAGTTTGTCCCGCAGATAATATTGACATTTAGTTTGTTCAACCAAATGTCTGTCTTGACACTGGCTCTGTTTTGCTGCCTGGCTCTGGATGCTTGATGTTTTCTACAGATTATCTCCACAACTTCCAGAAGCTTGTTCAGTTTCATCAGTTCCATTACAGCCTCTGTCACAACTTTGCTCTTTCTGGGTCGATCCTCATCCACATGCATCTTCAATTACCCCCTGAGCTGATAATTCTGCTTGCTTCCTTGCCTTCCATTCCGATATTTTTGTCTCGCTATGATTCCCTTTTCTGCCTGAAATAACAGATCCTACTGGCATCTACCCTTCATTACTACTCTCAATCTCATCTAAATTAATCTGTGTGGGGTCATAGCTGTTTTTGATCAAAATTCCCGCAGAAACCTTCTTCTCCCTTTTTAACATGGTAACTGTGAATTTTTAGCAGGTGAGCAGTACAGATCCACACAAGTGGGATGGCACAGGCTGAGCCAAAAGTAGCAGCAGTCTGGTAAGCAGGATCACTTCAGCCTGCAGGCACATTCCCTTGCAGAACTCAACGTTTAAGCTCCGCTTCAGGAAAAAGGCACGAACCTAAGCCCTGTTCATTCCTTCTAGTGGGATCCATATGAAGACACATAGTATGGAGAATAAATCCATACCCACTATGCACTCCAATAACAAGTATCATGGGTAAATTATCACTTTTCCAATTTGCCAAGCACAAATAAACAAAGCAAGAAAAAAACTATTCCTCTTATGTCCCCTCGGGCCATGAATGGGTCAGCCACTCAGGCATTAATTACTGGCAACTGAAAAGTATGAAGGGACATAGATTTTTTTAAAACAATCTTTGCAAGCGAGAGGCATATGATGCATGTTGATGACTCAGCGACATTCCAATCTACAGTGGGCAGGGAAGATTGAGACAGGATAAACGAAAGGCATCATTAACTAGAAATGAATGGTAAGTCACTTGGCACATGCTACTCAAAGGTTAAATTCCAAATTTCCACTAGAAATTCCAAATACCACTAGATTATAGCAAGGATTCACTCACCGAGATTAGCATAGTAGTAAGGAAAATCTCCCAGATATGAGGAATACTGTGGCAGTACAAATAACCCTCCAGGATGTTTGTTCCACATTAAGCTGTTACGTGATATGTGCTTAAATATTCTGTCCTGAATAATCTGAAAAACAAGAGAGGTGATGATTTTTAAATAGACTGTAATAGTTACTGGTAGAAGCTTCAGGGACTCTAGCTCACTGGAATCATCACCCATTTTGCAAAAAGCTGAGGCACACAAATTACTAGACATTCCTG